CAAGTTGTTCATACTCTGAAGAAGCAATTTGTCTTAATAGTATTCGACGAACATTTGAATCTTTGTCGACAGATTGAAAGAAGACGAATGAAATTTATGTTTGTTTGATTACAGATCAGAGCACTGACAATAGCCAACAATCTCTGTGTGTCTTCATTTTCATCAACAGTACAATTTTCGAATTTAATTAATTTATTATTTCATTAGAGAGTTTTGCAGTTTTGTCAGTTAGCAAAAGCCTTCAATTTTCAGCATCAATTAACTTGAAATATTAATAATTTTGTCGAAGTTGCAGCAAAATCTATAACTAATGACTTAACCATATCTTGAAATAATCTAAACATATTGAATCGATTCTTCAACGAGCAATTTTCAGTGGAAGGAGACAAACAGAATCTTTTCACGATACGAAATGAGCAGCGAAAGGTTCTCAGCGATCGTCGAAGAGTACAAAGGAATTTTTCGAGATAATTGAAACGAAGCCGGAAAATATTTAATTGCTATTAACGGCTTTAGGTACAATAAATGCTTTTACAGCGAAGTAAAGCGACACATGGCAAAAATGAACAAATAAAAATGGAATTGCTGGTGAATCTTTGTCTTGGGTCTTCTTCAGGAAAAGGATTCTTCTTTTAAGTCGATTTCAATGCAGTTTTTAAATGCAATCTTTCTTATGGAACAACGTGAGAAATTATCTTAATTTGGCAGAATTTTCAGACAATCTGTCCGAATAGATGCTTAACGTTACAATTTTCAAATTTAAAACTCTACCTATCATCTTTGCGAATGACATTCTAAATCGAGTGCATTTGGATTTGCCAGAATAAAGTCTTGTGGCCACGTTTGCACTTTGGCCCTTGATTATTTTAAAATATTATACATACATATATATATATATATATATATATACATTGGAGAACAAAAGCAAAAATTGCTATCTAAGCACTCAGTGGAAAATGTGTCAAAAATCTTGATAAATTAACAAAAAAAAAAAAAAAGAAAAAAAAAACGAAAACAAAAACAAAAATCAAAATAATAATAAAAATACTTTTACTGACCATTCGGTAGGGTTTGCCATCCATTTATTTGAAAAATATGCATTTGCCACTGGAGAAAAAAAAATGTACAATTAATTTGAAATGGGAGGAAAATATGGTGAAAGCACCATTGAATATGTTTCATCAATATGACGAATCAATGACAAGCACTGATAACTTGCCTGTTGCTATTGCAATTGTAAATGCAGGGTTGCAGATCAGTCCAAAAAGAATTTCAAATCAATCCAATTTATATGCAAATGCTGAAGCACGCATCACCTGCTAGCGAAATAAAAGAATTTTTAGAAAAAGTCGCAACAAAAAAAAAAAAAAAAAAAATATTTATATATATATATATATATATATATATGTATACATATATATACATTTTTTATTTTTGTTATCAACAGCTTGATATTTGTTAGCATAAGAACGACAGAGTTGAGGGAAGATTTTAATTAAAAAAAGCTCGTTTTTGTTGAGAAAAAGGAGTACCTACCATGAAGGCATAAAAAATGTATATAAAAAACAAAATTGAAAATAAATAAACCAATGTCAAAAAAAACATATATCATAGGAGAAATTAAGTGAACTGGAATAAAAGACCAAGAAACAGAGTTATAGGATTTTTAAGTATAACTATACAAATAAATATAATTATCAATATAAATAAATTCGGTATCAATTGAAAGACATCTGTCTCTACGACCTACAATGGGGGCAATTTGCACTTAGGTTTCCTTGGCGATTCGTCCTCTCATAAGATTGGTCCAAATTGGGCCGGAAATACTTACTTTCAAATTCTCGCTCTTCGTTTTTATATGTTAATTGCTATGTCAAGGAGAAACACCTGTTGTTGTTTATTGTGTAATTAACACATTCGGTTTATTGTAATTGCCCGCAGCATTCATGATTGTATTTTCTTCATAGAGTCTCAAAAAATTAATTTAAATTATGTCTTATTTCACTTAATTAAAATACATATACATACTCTTGACTAGAACTTCCCGCAAGAGTTAAAAATGTCCCCGACCGGACATCTAAGTGAGAAGAAACAACGACAAGAAAAGCTCATAGCTGACTCCATCGATCTTTTCGGCTTTTGACCATCAAAAAGGTTGCCACATCTCAGTTGAAATCAGATGATGAAATCAGTTGATATCACCATTCATTACCCGTCGGCGATCGCTATCCTCTTACCGCTATTTATCTAACTCGTAACGAACGGAAGATATGTGGAGGAGGTCGAAACGAGCGGGCGACTTTTCCTCCTCACAGTATGTTGTCAGATTTTCAGCGATCGTGTCAAATAACTAAGTATTTATTGGATCCAAATGTGGATAAAGTTTTGACCTTTGGAGGATCTTTGGAAGATAAATTCTTGGACTTGCTTGGATCTGAAGGATCGTAATAGTAGTAGCATGCACTGCGCTCTTATAAAAATATTAACGCAATCTAGTCTCTTTAGCTTTGAATCCACTGCCACTTCTTCTGCGTTGCCATCAGGCAATCTTGTCATCAAAAGTGCCGTGACAATGTAACTTTTTTTTTAAGTTATTCTCTGTTTCCGCAATCACTAGATCTACATTTTTATTACTTTGCTAAGCTTTTTTCAGTTGAAAGCTTTCAAACATACATATAATCAATTCTTGGAATCGGTGTCAACATTATATTTTTTCGTGATTCGTTCTGAAAGCATCGCTAACGCTTTAGTAATTGTTCTATACTTATCTCATTATATCGATTTAAGATAAGTTGCGATATATTTGTCATCATTCTCCTTAAGACAAGCGCATCGAAATGAAGAAAGGGCTCGCAATTTGTAACTAATCAAGATAACAATATTCCTGAACATATCTTAATAGTGAAAAAATAAATGAGTTTTTTCTGAATGAAGTCAGCTTGACTTCCGAGGAGTCCAAACATAATGCTTTAATGGTAATAAACGTAAAGTGATTTATGCAGAATTAATAAAAGCTTGCGAAATAGGTCTTCTTTGCTCTTCAAATAATTTAAAAAGTAAATATATACACATAAACACATTTTAAGTGGTAAGTAAAGTAAAATAAACTAAAGTAAAATCATGTATGAAATGAAAAATTTTTAATTGACTTTAAAACTTGATTTTTTTTGTCCTCAGTATGTACATAGAAAACAAAACAAAATAAACCAAAAAAAAAACACCTTTCAGTCAATATGGTAATATTTAATAAAATTTCCAAACAATTGCTTGCAATTAGTTTTTTACTTACTCTCAATCAAAGTGAAATGATTTTTGTGGTTTTGAAAAAAATTTTCATTTTTGTAAAAGAAGTTTGAGAAAAAAATTTCTACGTATAATTTTTGTTTTTATAATATTTTTTTTTTTTTGTATACATGTAAATTCAATTAAAAAAAGATTTCATTTAGAAAAAGATGTAGCCTACTTCAAGGCCCTTTGCAATTTTTGGAAGACTTGTAATGCATTACAAATAATTTGGTAATAATTTTATCATTGTTTATTATATTTACTTATATAAGCTTAAGTTACGTATAGCTTTTGTTTATTCAGTCCGCCTGTCTTCGCATTCATTCTTATTGTCCGACTATGAGAGAAAAGGCAATATTTAATAAATTGATTTGCAGATATGTAATTTGAGAACAATTAAGTTCATGCAAGCCTCAGAGATGATAGCTCTGAAAACAGTAGCATGGTATGTAGGTGTAAGCATATGCGCATTCATATAGCGTAGCCTACTCGTACACACATAGTATTTCATCTAATACTAATTAACCACACTAAATCTGAAACGCAGGTAACAATGCATGATGCAGGATATAACTTAAATAAGACTCGCCTGTAAAAAATTTAATATTCATTCAGATTGATATGGTTGAGATTGATACGGCAACAATCTACGGAGAGTAAAAGTGCAAAGTTTGATATCAATTTTTATATAATAAACCACTTATGGCATAAATATATCAAGTTTGTGCTGATATGCTGTGGATATCTCATGCGTAGAACAATTTCAGATAGATTGGGCTTTTATTCAGTTTTATTGTCTCAATCCATGTAAGCATTCACGTAGGGGTCACAATTTTCCATTTTGCCTTACTATGGACTATAAATAATATCGCGCGAATAAGAACATTCGTTAAACTCTCTCTCTCTAATGTATAATGGGAATGGTAAAGAAACAATAAGCCTACATATGACAAACATATTCAGTTTGTTGTAGTGTATGATGCAATTTGATATATAACTGTAGAATGCCATCCTTGGATTACATAGATCAATTTTTTCGAATTTTTTCTCTTCAAATGAAGGTGTGAGAAGAAATGAGAAGTAAAGCAACTACCGTTTCTGGTGTCTTATGGCAAAGATAGGTGAAAGATTGTATTTAGCAAAGTGCAGTAAGGTACTTACAAATCGTCCTTACTTGATTGTTCGGTCTAAGATCATGTTTTTCCAGAAACACCTTTAAGTTTGTAACTTGAACATTTAGAGGAAAAAAGAGGAGGAGGAGGAGGAGAGGAAAAATTTTCCCATTTACGACATAAACGAATCGTATTGGAAAACGGCAAAAACGTCTAAACATTTTTGTTAATAAATTTTGATAAGTTCAGAATTTATATAAGAAATCGTTTTCGATTGAATTACTGTTTACCAGATTCATTCTTTGAGGCGAATATAATTTTCTTATTTCGTTTGTAATTAAGATAAATATGTAATTGAAGTAATTATCTGATATTGTTTTACTTTAGTAAACATTTCTCATTTGTTTTCATTAAATAGAAATTTTCATGAAATACCAAAGAATTATGTGTTGTTGTTTCCATGCTAAAATCTACTAATTACACCCTGAAGGCATAAACAACACATTATGAAACTTCTTCGAAAAGACGAAATGCATGAAAAAGCAAATCAAAAAAAGCAAAAAAAGCAAAAAAAAGTCAAAGACGAATACAAGTAAAGTAAATACAGTCGGAGCGTTAAATGGTATTTCCTAAAATAAACAGTTAAGCATGTGCAACTATTTATATATATATATATATATATATTTATATGAATACAGATATTTATAAATATTTATTTAACAACATATGAGCATAGTAGACAATAAAGTAAAATAAGAGAAAAACAGAACTTAAATTGCTGAGCTGATAAGAATACAACTTTAAGTAAAATATCTGTTGTTATCGTCATCTTGATGACAATAAATTTTTGTCGCACACATGCAATGATTTACTGATGGCTTGTGAGTTGCTGCAAAGCTGGAACAAATGAGTTTCATTTGCTCTTGTTCTTGAAACTTTTTTAATATATTTCGAACGTTGTCTTTATTATCGAAAAATTCTTTTAATTTATCATTAAGCTGTATTTCATCGTTGCGCGGTTTTTCCTTTAACGAAAACGGTTTCAACTCGCTTTTCCGATAATTATTAACATACGGTCTTAAGATTGGGAAGTGAAATAACGTTGTCACTAAATGCGGGAAAATATAAATTAAAATAAGAGAAAACAAAAGTTACACTTCAAAATATATATTTATTATATATATATATATATATATAAATAAAGTAAAAATTTATTTAATTGGGCAAAAATGATCTTTAAATACCCTACATTACTAATTTCGTTATCAAGTAATAAAAATGACACTTTATTACGATATAAAGGCTTCATTTTAATAGGATCGCTTATATGAAGAGAGTCCGGAAAATAGACCAATTCGATCCAATCTTATCACAGTGAATTTATAAGTCAAATAGACATTGTCGCCACACATGCAGGCTTACTTTTAAGAGCAACTGTTATAAGCCAAGATGGCCGATGGAAGCAAATGCTTGCAAAAACCTTATCGTTTTCGGATTTATATAGGCCATGTAAAACCTTTGAAATGTATCTCCGAATAATAAATTTAGTGGACTTATAATCCTTGTAAGTCGCCTGATAAGTGTAAATAAATAACAATTTATTTTAAGTCAATATTGTTTGAAAGTAATAAATAAAAGTATTCGCTCTCTTACCTTCGGTGGCTAACGCTATCAAATAAGATGAAAACTTAATGAAAAATTTTAAATTCATTTTAAAATATGCGATGACATTTGACTTTATAATGCAAAGAAAGAAGTTTAATATTTTTATAGCTGCTTAGTTACGTGAATTGTTCAAGCACTTCTCGCTGATAATATGAATGCATGTTAGTCACGTTCCTTTAGTCATGAACTAGCTGTTGATTAACAGGTACAATTTCCGCATTGCCTGCATGCATGGTTCAATTGAGAAAATAATGATCGATAATGAGTACGAGATTCTTAACAAAAAAAAACAAAAAAAACAAAAAAAAATACAAAAATAAAAATCAAATAAAAACACACTTATATACATAAATGACAAAGAATTTTTATATGAAAAATTTGACATCCACTACTTTGCTTTTGCCTTCGCATAAAATGCAAATACCCTAACATTACATTACACGTTCCCGATCGATTCTAACAAACCAACACGAACTATAAGCTAAGGGATACGGACTCGATGGAAGTGTCTGCACCGTTTTGACTGTTCAAAGTTTCATGCGTTTCAGTTGGGAAGAAAGTAAATCAAAGGAATACTTGCTACGCAATTTTGCAGCGTCATCGTAACAGTATTAGGTCATCGAAAGATCCGAATGCGGACAAGAGACGAGGTGCAAACGTTTCATTCCTTCTTCTTTAAAAGTAATTGCAAAAAGTAGCAGATGTTCAAGGTCTTAAGAGTTAAGACATTCACTTCGGTCAATAATTCGGCAACCCATACAATACAGCTAACATTTAAACAAGTAACAAAAAAATTTCAAATTTTATTTCTTCATTTATATATAAGACTCAGCTGCAGTGGCTATCGGACGACTACAAACTAATCTGCGGCTTAAAATGTAAATCTTATTAATTTTTAACAAAACCAAATTGAATTTAAAGAAACAAAATTGAATTAAACGCAAAGAAATAAATAAATAAAAACTAAGAGGAGAGAAAAAGAAAGTTTATACACATCAAAATCCATAACCTAAAATCTTTATAGCCATACGACTGGAGTGTGAAGCTAGATCGGCACAAACAAATCAATTATGGCAAAAGTTTCGGACGCGTGCTCTTTGACAATATCGCCCGATTCTGACAACATCTTTATGTGATAAACGCTATTACAGTTACTGCAAAGAATGCAAAAGCGCTTAAATATGCCATAACTGTGTGTACCTTGTTTCGCTTTAATTAACTGAATTTGACAAGTCTGCTCTTAAGCAGATCGTACATAAAACGTAGATTGGAGACAAATCTGCACTTTTCTAGCGAGGATAAATCAATTAAAGCCGAGCTTAGGTTTATATGTTCGCGGAGCGCTTGCCGTACTTTGCTGAATTCTCCAGCTAGACGAGCCAGTCTACCTACTTTTGCATATGATTGGCCACATCGTCTATTGTCACCGTTGAAGTCGGTCTTTAACCATCAGACATATTTAAATCAACTAAGACACTACAGATTACTTACACAGATTGTTCAAAGGCCGAACATATTTTCAGAATTTCGGGAATTTCTAGCCTAAAAAACAACCAAATTTCATAAAAAAAACTGCACGTAACGAACAAGTGCGAATTAAATAAATGAAATTGCGCTATGAATTTCGATTTTCTGGATACACACTAGGCAACCTCGTTATCAATAAGTTTTTAAAGCAAGCTTAACTTTAAATAGAAGCATAGCTTTAACTTAATATCTACGATATATAATATACGTAGGAGGTTAATGTAATCTGATCATTGCTAATAATTAAGCAGAAAAAGAAAATTCGGGGATCTGATAACTTTCTGAACTTTATGGATTAAATTAATAAACAATTTCTTTACGTTATATTGTTTATGAAGCGGTAGTGCTGACGATGGCATTAGAGATTTCCTTATATAATTTTCTCTTTAACCAACTTTTCCATGACATTGTCCATAATTAGAGGTGCAAAAGTAACGTATTTCGCCGCTCGATCAGCTTTCGCATTTCCCAATAAACCAATATGACTGATGGTAACCAAAGCATTTGAATTTTTTCGCCGGGTGTTGTAATGATATGCCTAAATTTGTTGATGGTGCTCCATCTCGAACTCGACGAATTCCGTATACCTTTTAATGCACACAAACTATCAGTAACAATGAAAGTTTTCAGTTTATCTCTACGAGAAAGATTGGCAGCGTGAAGGATAGCTTTGGCTTCGGTTTTGAAAGTTGAAGCACTTTCGTGAAATATGTGATTGAGAAGAGCCTGTCCTAAAGCATCTACCACGGCACAAGCAGGTGACAGACGAGAAGATTTTGAACCATCTGTGTATAGAAGATTCCAACCGTTACTCTCCAGTACTTAGGTTTTTGGAGTGTCTCCTTTCTTGAGTAGTCCTTCCAAACCCATGGAATAGAGGGACCAAAGTAGTGGAATATTTTTAATTCCACTTTTAAAATCCAACAAATGTTGAGAAAACCAAGATCCAAATGTTTTCGATAATCCGCCCTGGCCATGCAGTTGCAACTGACCAATGGATCTTAAAGAAGTCTCCCTCCCCACTCTGCAATTGTGAACAAATTCTCACAGTAAAGCACATTCTCTGTGACTGCCTTAACTTTCCCTTGGCTAGAATTATTGCATTTAGAGTGACTAATCCTACGGGCATTCTAAAGTCGGCTACAGAACAGCTATTGGACTTAATATCTAATGTACTTTTGTAAATTAGAGCTGATAGCCTGTGCTCTTAGTACTCAGTGCCTTTTTCTTTTAGTCTAAGAATTTATTTCATCAGTCTAACGTTATAATACTGATAATAATAATAATAATAATAATAATAATAATAATATATTGCTTATATGCTTTAGTTTGAAATTCGCCGTAGCAACTAAAAGTGTATAGTGGACTTTTTAAAATACCAAAAAGTTTTCAAATTTTTTCGCATAATATTTCTCTCTTAATACATGAACTGTTGTAATTACGTTTTTCATACCGTTCTGCTTTTGTTTATTGATTATGTAAAATTGAAAATCAAGCTTCTATTTTTTATTATTTTTTACTTTCAAAAATTTATGCAAGATGGCAAAAGATAAATTTTTTATCATTTCTGCAATTCATTCCTTTACTGTTCGATATCATGTTTATAATGAAAATAATTTTTCATGTGTGCTCTGTTATTTAATAATCCTAAAAGTATACTTCAAAATACGGAAAAGTCATTTCGTATATTTTCGTTATAATGAAACTTTTTCTCTCAATTTCTATGTAAAAGAGAAGTGAGAAAATGAAAAATTTTGCTGTAGTCGACAAATGTTATATATATATATATATATATATATATATATATATATATAT